TTTATTTTAGGGCCTGATTCTGATCTCTCAGCAGCTTCACACTGGTGTAATTCCAGTGAATTCTGTGGAGTTACTCTGGAGTCAGTGAGATCAGGATCAGGTCTTCCGTAATTTTTGACTGAGGAAAGACCTCAGGGTTTGGGCAACAATGAAGGTACAGAAGATGTGGTGGCAGGAATGGTGATTGCAACAATGCTGGCAATTTGGTGGTGGTGATGGTGGAAGGGATAATGGTGGGGATGTTGTCAGTAGGAGTTAAAGAGAAGGTGACAGCAGTGGTAAGATGCTGCTATGGTGATGATGGTGATTGATGCTCACAATTCTGATGGTGCCAATCGTGGTGATGGTGGCTCTGATTAAACTCATGCTAGAGGTGATGGTGACTGTGGGCATGATCAGGGACACAGCAGTATTAACAGAGATATGAAAATAGTAAATTGGAGCAGCACCAGGTCAAGGGTAACAGGCTGCCCAGATCTGCTGAGCCCCCTTGCACTCTAAACATCCAGTCCGAGGCACTCTGTGATCTCCATGCTCCTTAAGTACACGTAAGCGCAGCCCTTCAGCCTCCTTCACTGGGAGGACCCGACCAGTCCCCACTCTCCTGAGAGATGCAGCCACACCTGGAACAGCACTGGGATGGGGACTGGGGACAGGGCTTGAGAGGCTCAGGATGATTTAGAACCAGGCAACACGAGCAGAAGTGCAAACTGAAATGACTAGTGAAAGTGTGATGGGCAGTGGGATTGGGAATGGGAGCTGTTTAGGATTAAAATGACCTTGGGCATGAAATGCAGGGGACAGTGAGGATAACCAGCTATAATGGGGAGAGTTAAACAATTAAAATATTGTTGGGTTATTGGGGCAGGAAAGGGCACAGTTAGTCAGTAAGGGTGTGATCCTTTAGTGAAGACTTTAACTGATGAGGGGAGGACTACATGCCACAAGAACTGAAGGTCTCACCCTTTCTTTAAGGTTATCTGTCCATTTCATTTCATGACTTCCTTGTCTGCTCAGCTTGTAAGCACTTTAATCAAGGACTGTGGCCACCTCTTCTTCTGCAGCACTCAGCACAATATGTTTTCAGGCCTCTAGGCACTAGTAACACAGGGATCATGACAGTTGTAAAGAAGTAACAATACTACATTTTTGAGAGAGTTTTCAACAACTTATCCTTTGAGTTCATTTCAATAATCAGTGCCTGTGTTTTGAAATGAACTTTTCATCCTAGTTCTGAGCTATGAACTAAATACTGAGCCAAATACTCTACATAAACTTCAAAGCACATTTCTGAAATGTTTCACCTCTACAGTCAATGTACAAGATGAAAGGGCTAAGTCATGCAAGACTAACTTAGGGAAAACTGCTATTGAAATTGCAGAATTAGGCCCAATGCTTCCCCTTCTCCCAGCTCAAGCTGTCATTATACCAGTGGTTCTCAGAATTAAAAATCTCTCTTTGCAGGTGACATCATTCTTGATGCAGGCACAGCCCACCCCAACCTCTCCATTTCTGGGGATAAGAAGAATTTGAAACATGAAGCCCAACCTCAGAAAGTTCATCAAAAGCCAGAGAGGTTCGATTCGACTGTCTGTGTGTTGGGCTCTGAAGGATTCTCCTCTGGAAAGCACTACTGGGAGGTGGATGTTGGGAGCAGCACTGACTGGGACCTGGGAGTGGCCAGAAAATCCATAAAGAGAAAAGGAAAACTTTCCTTGTCCCCTAAAGAGGGATTCTGGGCTCTGGGTGTGAGTGGGAAAGATTGTTGGGCAAAAACAGACCCATGGACCCGGGTCCTGGTGCAGAAAAAGGTCAAGAAAATTGGAGTTTACCTTAATTACCAAGATGGACAGGTGACTTTTTTCAATGTAACTGACATGTCTGTGTTGTTCACATTTAATGATTGTTCATTCTCAGGTGCTGTTTATCCATTCTTTAAAAATTCCCACAAAGAAACAATAATGAGAATTTGTTCTATAAAAGAAGACTAATCATTTTAAAATGTTGTGAGAACTACAGATAAAGTCCATGAACCACTAGGTAACCACCACTAGGAAATCTCATTGATAACTTTATTCTTTGTCCCCCAGGACCTTGATGTCTGGGAAGGAAATATTTGAACTACTCCGTTTTCCAGTTGTACATAATTTATTATCAAAACTAAGTAATGGAGAAAAGGGAAGACAAAATAATAATAAAAAATATAAATAAAACAAAAAAATAAAATAAGTAAATGTAAATATAAAATTGTCATATCAATTCAATTATCAGTGTAACTAAATAAAAACAATATCAAGTAACTCCTCTATATACAAGCTGAGGTAATGGCAGTCCATTTACCTATCAGCCAAAACTACTTGAACTTTGTCTCAGTTAGGTCTAATCTTGTATTCCAGGCTGGTACAAAGGGGAGAAAAACAAACCAAAAGCTAAAGCTGATGTTTGAAACACAGTTTAAATGCCACCAATGAGCTGCCTCCAAGATTTCAGTGGTTAAATTATAGTAATCCTTATATGGTCACATGGAATCTTCCTAATAATTCAGGATAATGGAACGTTTTATATTTAACAAGGCCACAATTATAACTAATGACAATTTCTTAGATTTTAAGTTAATTTCCAGCATGAAAAAAATCATTCAGAATGATTTAGCCATACATAGAAATGAAAATTCCTCAATATTTTTTTTTAAGTTTCGATATTTTGCAAGCAGATGTTTCACTTTATTAATTGGTGATGTAACAGACTAAATTTGAACAGGTGCTTTAACATCAAAATCTGAGTGAAAGCTTAGACTTTAACCCTAAAAGGTCGTTTACCTTAAAAATCATAATTTTAGGTTCACATTTCAGGGTATCACTACTCATGTTATCGTGGTGTATCTTTAAAATCCTCTCAACAATAAAAATATCATAAAGAGAGAAATATAATGTTTTTATTTATTTATTTATTTTACTGTGTATTGATTGCAGTCATATCTTAATTATACTTAAAGTTATTTTAAGGAGAGTGGACTAAAGCCCATTTGCATCCTTCTATGGAACAAAGGGGCTGCAGGAGGTGGTGAAATCTCTGTGTGGTGAAGACAGGACTGGCTCTAGGCACCAGCAAACCAAGCATGTGCTTGGGAAGGCACAATTCCAGGGGCAGCACGCTTGCGCTCTCGGAGGTGGGTTGTTTTTTTCTGCTTTGACAATTGCGCTCTCAGAGGGTTTTTTTTATTATTATTTTTTGCTTGGGGTGGCAAAAAACCTAGAGCCAGCCCTGATGAAGTGGGTTCCAGCCCACAAAAGCTTATGCCCAAATAAATTTGTTAGTCTTTATGGTCCTACAGGACTACTCATTGTTTTTTATTGAAAAAGACTATCATGGCTACCCCTCTGAAACTTGTCACCTTTATTTCTGTTCCCATTTTCATATTGTAATGTCATAGGTATCCAAAGGAATGAGGTGAGCCCACATTATAGAAAAATGCAACTACATTTAATAAAATGGAATAATATAAACATATGGATGACTGGGTTGAAAACTGTTGTCAGAATGACTCCTCAGTCTTGTCTTGACTAAACATGTCCAATTGTTTTAAGCTGTTCTCAAAGGTCAGATTGTCTAAACCTCTTATAATATTTATGTTGTGTTCTACTGGACTCTTTCTAATTTCTACATTCTTTCCTAAAGTGTGGCATGCACAACTGTACACAGTACCCAATCTGAGAACTCACCAGTGCTGAGTATAGAAGGACAATTACCTTTCATGTCTTACATACGACACTCCTGTTTTTACATACCAGAATGACATTGGTCTGTTTCACAACAGCATCACACAGTTGATTCTCATTCAGTTTGTGACCCACTATAACCCCAATCCTTTTATGCAGTACAACTGCTTAGCCAATTATTTCTCCATTTTGTAGTTGTGCATTTTATTTTTTCCTTTCTGATATTTCCTTTAAGCATCACTGAGATTCACAAAACCTCCACTCAGCTGCCCCCTTTCCATGCAGATGCCTGAAATATCTAGACATGTAATTTTTGCTGTAAATTACCTCTAGGTGCTTAAGTTTCTGCCTGTGAACATGCATGCTGCACCTTAAGCAGTCTTCTGGACTTTTATGCCCCAGCAAGAGCCTCAAAACAGCTTGTCACCATGCCTCAGTGGGTCACAGCTGAGAATGCCAAATTCAGGACAAACTGCTGAGAAATAGGGCAGACTCACCCAAAATGGGGGTTATTCTATCATTAGATTATACCAAGCCAGTAACAAAAGCGACCTTCTGTCTCACCACCCTGGTTAACAAGAAATCAAAAATGGAGCATCCTTTGGTATCCGAACTGTTGGCTCACCACCCAGACATTGGACTATAAAATGAATGGTTACTGAAAACCAATTTAATCAAATTTAGGGTTCTTCTAATCCCAAGATATCAGGCACTTAGCCAGCTCAATGTATAACTCACATCATACCAAATAATCATGCTGATGTCAATCCTTTAATAAATAAGAACTAAAGGTTTAATAATAAAAGAAAAGAAGAAGAGAGTTATTAATGGTTAATAGATCATACACATATACATGATTTTTCAGTGTTCATCTATCAGGATCATAGCAGTGATGGGATAAACTGCTAGCTTGCAAAAGTTCCTCTGGAAATTACCCAAACAGGTTGTGGGGTCTTCAATCTGTATTCAAAGCTGCTTTGTTAGAAAGCCAGTCCAGAGAAATGAAGCAGGAAATGAAGACAAGATGGAGACGTTTCAGGGGTCTTTTATATCCGCTGCCATG